TGCAAGGTCCTTCACCTGGGTCGGGCCAATCCTAGGCACAAATACAAACTGGGCACAGAGTGGGTTGAGAGTAGCCCTGAACAGAAGGATTTGGGGGTGTTTATAGATGAGAAGCTCAACATGAGCCGGCAGTGCGCTCATGTGGCCCAGAAGGCCAACCGCATCCTGGGATGTAACAAGAGAAGCGTGGTCAGCAGGTCAAGAGAGGTGATTCTCCCCCTCTACTCTGTTCTTGTGAGAATCCACCTCGAATACTGCATCCAGTTCTGGTGTCCCCACCATAAGAGACACATAGATTTGTTGGAGCATGTTCAGAGGAGGGCCACAAAGATGATGCAGGGGCTGGAGCACCTCTGCTACGAGGACAGGTTGCAGGAGCTGGGATTGTTCCGTCTTGAAAAGAGAAGACTTCAGGGGGGACCTAATAGCTGCCTTCCAATACCTGAAGGGAACTTACAGGAAGGCTGGGGAAGGACTTTTTACAAGAGTGTCCACTGACAGGACAAGGGGAAATGGGTTTAAGTCGAAGGAGAACAGATTTAGATTGGATCTTAGGAAGAAATTCTTCAGTACGAGGGTGGTGAGACTTTGGAATAAATTGCCCAGAGAAATTGTGGATGCCCCTTCCCTGGAGGTGTTCAAGGCCAAGTTGGACAGAGCCTTGAGTAGCCTGATCTAGCTGAGAGGCGTCCCTGCCCATGACAGGGAGGTTGGATTAGATGATCTCTGAGGTCCCTTCTGGCCTATGCCGTTCTATGACTCTATGATTCATTCACCTGCTGTTTCACAGAGAAACTGTTTCGCAGAGGGGAGAAAACAAAACAGGGGCAGTAATGGACTTAAAAACTCACCAACAGCTTGGTGAAAATGCACAGTAATCGAAGAGTAGGACCAGATCCAAAAGTACAGCAAGTGATTCCTCACAAAAGCCAGAGTAAATTTTTCGTTCTCGGATACAATAAATTTGCATAGATTGACAGGAACAAGTTCATGAGAGAGAAACATGCTGAGGACAACTAAAACAGAAACCATCCCTGGCTCAGGAAGTGCTGCCAGGGATAAACAGCTGGAAGATCTGAAAGCTCACTTGCTCTGTTACTACTCTTCTACTGTCACCTGCTTAGGATCACCATGGAAGATGACACTGGTCTAGGCATATCTTCGGCGTCGATCATAATGCCTGTTCTAAAGTTAAATACTTTACCAAATCTAAAACTGAAAACAATCACAAAGCTTTACAGATATCACTAAACAGAAGTGAAAGGAAACTATATACACAGCTGAAGATTTCTCCTATCCTCTACCACACAGTTGTATGGTGAATCTACTACTTCTCTTGTTTTTGACTGCAGGATAAAAGAACTAAACCAGGAACCAAAATTTCAGAATTTGATAGGCTTCACATCAGGGCCATCATTGTGTCACAAAGCTTCCAAGGCATAATCTGAAAGTTACATTGCCAGAATAAGGTTTTGGAAAAAAACACTCAATTCTCAAAGAAAGGCTATTCTATGGACAGTGTACGCATGGCATTTGGGAATTCTCCCCAGGCAGCTTCTACCTGTTGCACAGAGCAAGCACTCACAGATACTGTGGCTACTACATTTAGACATACACTGACTGATCGGCCAGTACATGCATGCCAACTTACTACCTGTCACTCCTAATAGTGAAGGTATCAAGTTGTAAATTCTTTCTCTCGATGAGGGCATTAAATGCAGTCATTGCCTCTTTTCTAGCAGCTTCCATACCTCAAAATATTTGTGTAGAAACTTTGTACCTTTGAAATCTCCACCTGTCTTAGGTAGTGACATTAGTCAACAGGCTTAAATGAAGGGTTTGGGCAGAGAAATGACAGATAGACAGACTTTTGCCCTCTCTATCCCTTTACTTAGTTTTCAAGTTTTATATTTATTTACTGAACTATAATATGTTTAAACATCTTTTTAGCATGCAGCTTTACTCACGTATTTTGTCGGAATCTGTGTGAACTGCCTGAATAACAGAAGTTCTGAGAATCACTTCAACATCTGAAGCTATTTTCAGAAGCTAGTAAAAGGAAGAAAAAACAAAACAAACAACACAGAGTAATTTAAATTACATGTAATTATTCCTGAAGGTATTTTCTATACTAGACAGCTATTCAAACAACAAAGCCAGTCAGTTCTATTATTTAGCTATGCACTATCTATACACAGCTTTTAGTTTGGGGATCCTGGAACAACATACAGGTTGATATATAAGCTACCCTGACATACAGCACAAGAAGAAAGAAAACTCTTCTCAGTAACATACAGCAGTATAAAATCTATATACCCAATTAAAACTGCAAATGAATAAGGAAGAATGCAACCAGCAAAACAAGTAACTAGTTTGCAATGATCAAAGACATTGGTGAATGCCTCGACCACAAGCAACTACCTCAGTGAAAGGGCAATCTGGTTCTTTCAACATTCCTGTTCTTGAAACAAGGAGACAAAAATCAGGGTAAAACATGACAAGAATACTGAGGTTTCACAGAAAAGCAGTACAGGAACAAGGCACTACTTAAAGATTAGCAGAGGCATTAATATTTGGCAAAAGGCCTAGAATTCTTTCCCTCATTAAGAGGACAAGCAGAAGCACCCTTGCTAGTTTTGCGGAGTGATTAAGAGAAGCCTAGTACTTGCTTGCATGATATCTGTGTCAGAAATAAATGAAATTGCACAAGTGAGGCATTTCGGGAGACATGCTTACACTAGGAAGTAGTGTGTACCAACAGAAGTGGACCTTTGCAAGAGTTAGAGCTCAAGACTTCACATCTACACTGAATTTCTCCTCTCCCTATACCCCTTTTAAGGGTTTGGACTAGGTATCCTCCACTTCCCCCTACTGAATGCCCATTAGCAGTGAGGCTGCATGCTCCTGAAGCACACCTTCCACTCCACATTCATCTTAAAGGAATTCTGCCATTTGGTCTGAGGCTGCTTCACAAAACAAGCCAAACCACAGGAAGTGGAGAACCAGGGTAACTTGCAAGTGCACTCCTGACCTGAACTAAAATGCTGCAGTAGGTTCAGCTGCAACATCTCAGATTCTAATACTGCAGAGAGTTATCCCTACTTCCTCAGGTCACTACATAACTAAGTATTTGATGTCATATTAGAAGATATTGCAGCTTTCTATTCCAGCATAGTAATGCACATTTGGTTGGTCAATATTGTTTTTTTTTCAGCTGCTGTGTCCAGAGCAGAATAGTTAACACCCCCATGTTTATGCAAGCAAGTGCTCAAGTTCTCACAAGTCCTGTATATCATCTGATTCAGTTCCTCTGCATCCGAGTCTACTCAGTATACATATGTATATATAATAAATACGACATAAATTCTATGATGTTCTAGAATTCTGTAGTTGTGATGAAAGTCCAGGATTTCTTCCACAGACACATTTAATCAAGATACCAGTTAACACATTCTAAAAAGTTGCATATGTGTATTTTGCAGGACGCCATTCCTAACAAATATAGATTTTAAAATTACAGCAAGTATTTTTCCTGTACATCAACAACAAAAAGAACATAAAATTTAACAGATGAGACATTGGGAACACAAACACTTAAGTATTACTATAGGGGCCTGATAACTAGGAGAAATGCTAAAAAGTCCTAACTAAATGCTCAGAACTATTTATGTTACTGTCCAGTGGCTGGTGTGACACAAAGGTTTAGATTTACTTCTGCAAAGGACAGATGGAGGCACCTTCTTCCAACTAGTGCCCAATAGACAACGTAAATACAGTCTGTTAAAAGGCTAAATGACAAGGACTAAACTATTCTCTCTGGATATTAAGAACTAAAAATATCTGAACTACGAAAGTTTCATTTCAGACCTCGGTAAGTTTGAGAAAAATGACTCAGTTAAAAATGTTAAGATAAAAGCTTGTCATGGTTTGATGTGGAGGGGGGGTGGGGGTTCTGGTGGCAGGAGAGGGGCTTTGCTTCCTGTGACCTCCCTGGTTTTGGAGTCGGGTCAGACCCGGTTCTGGCCACCAGATCGGACTCCCATCCCCCTTGGGGTTGAGCCAATTGGCGCCTCTGCAAATTGCCCTATTTAAGTCAGGACAAAGGAACTGGCAAAGGTGCTTTGCCCAGGAGCGAGGAGAGAAGGGAGGAGGGCACTGCCCCCGCTCCCTGGCTCCCG